CCACATCGGCGTCCATGTGGTGTCTCACAGTATTGTACTTCTATCCAATGTTCAATAAATATGTGCTAAATGAATGAACCCACACTTCAGTTCACCCTGTTCCAGTTCAAGTAACTCCCACACATTCTTCTTCAGGCTGAGAAGACTTCAAGATTACCAACAGAGCTCCGAGAATGAAAATCACACAACAGCTACTCACATACTCAGTTACCTCTAGTGGCTTTCTGGTGATTGCTGTAGGTGTAACAGAATGCTATTTCTGAACTAGTAACTGCCGCATTTCTCAGGCCTTTCGTTGCTGGTGCTTATGGCTACTCACTCAGTGACTCACAGGCAGCTGCTACTTCAGGAAGGACAGACAAGAATCAAAAGTAAGACATCATTGCTCAACTTTGATGTCAAAGTTTTTTTTTTAAAGCCAAAGGAAGAAACATGTACCTGGAAGCTAAAAGGCTTCTGATTTATCAGAGCCAAGTTCTGGAGGCAGAAAGGGCTTTTAGCAATCTACAAACTTTGGTGTGCAAAATGGAGAAAAAAAAAATTCAAGGACCCCAGCCTGGCTGACACAGGCAGTTTATTCTATGAACCACAGAGTTGGAAGAACAGGTAATGATATAGGAAAGGTTTTCGCAGTCAAAAAGAGCCGTTAAGTTTGAGGAAAGAGACCTGGAGGGGATGTAGCAAGATGTTAGCGGTAAAGGTCTATGACATGCTTGGCGCGCCCCCCCACCCCAGCCAAGGGCTGACACTCCATTTGGGGTGTGAGAAAACCCCAGATCAAGTTGTAGACTGGCTGTGTACACACCACACACACCACAACAATTAACTCAGAATCTCTGGTGTGGGGTAAAGGGCTTAACAGTTTTTAAAAAACTGTCTTCCCTTCCTACCTCCCAAGTTGATCTAATCTTCAGTCAAGTTTTAAGGATTACTGACTTGCAGGGATCCCAAAGTTGGAGAGTGCAATATACCTGTTTTCCCATGGTGTAGCCATCCTTGTGGACAAACTCGCTGGCAATTCTACCCCTGACTCCTTTTAACAGGGAACAGGGTGCTTGAGCACAGAACTCCCACACAAACCAGGGAGCAGCTTACTGAAGACAGCTCAGACTTCACCACTGGTGACTCTCAACGCTGGATTTGGAAGAGTCTCGGTTTTGTGAATGAGGGTCTGGTGGACAAGTTTTAGCAGTCTAAGCACGGATGTGGTACAAAGTTAACTACTGCTAGAAGGCCTGAAACTCCCGCAACTGTCCCCACAGGGCTCTACACAGGGGACAACTCAGACTAGAGCTATTCATCAGCACTGCTTACAACTCCTGTTGGTCACCACAAACAAACCAACTCCTAACTGTAACACTGACTCAGTTATTCAGAGCTTGTGCATCTTTACCAAAACGCTGTAGTCGTAACAAAAGCCAGTGACATTTGTGAAAGCAAATAAAGAGGATTCCTTAAATCAACCTTTTCAAGGTATTTCCAGTCTCACTGAAAAAATTAGGAACTCTGACTCAGTTTAGTAACAAAAGAGGATTAGCTCTGCTCATGCATAGTACCTAATTAACTTTCAGAGACCAAGTTTGAATTATAAGACCTTCAAAAATATTTAGGTGAGGATAGATTAGAGTGGAAAACCAACCTCCCAGAGTCATCTAGACCCATCAGCCCCTGGTCACATTGGCTCTTGAGCACTTAAAATGTGGCTATTTCCAAATACAGATGTGCTATAATATACATCAGATTTCAAAAATTGAAAAAACATCTAAAAATATCTCACTGACAATTTTTATACCAATTACATGCTAAAATGACAATAATTTGGATATTTAAAGACCTAGGAAGGCCTTTAGCCTTTGCAATGTTTGAACTCCAACAGTGGATGAACTGTATACTGTTTGACTCCCTTGATGGATATCCTCTATTTGGATAACAAATATCCTTAACATTTACAGATTTAATAACACTTTTAATTTATAAATGAGCTACTTTAAAAGGTTCAGGACATCCAGTTATTTGATATTTTTCTGAAATATAAATCTGCATTGCTAACAGTACACAGTTTGTTTTCAGTTACCCAGCTACTAAATTATCAAGCCAATCAGAAAGAATTTAAGTCTTACACTGACTTTGTTGGGGAGTTAGTTTTTGGTCAGGTACTTTTTAACGCTCATAAAATAATGAACACTGAATTCATAAGTTCATGGAAAAGAACCAGACGAGTAAGGCACTATATGGCAGAATTTAACAACGGTCTTATAATTACGGCATCATTAAGGTGTTGCAGAAAAAGCACTTTCACTTTATTTTACATGAGAAGTCAAATCTTAAATCATGCAATTATATTTTTGAATATAAGGGTTTTTTGTTTTTTTTTTCACATTTTAGGACAATTCCCTCTAAGGTGTTAAGTTTCTATTATTCTAACAGGCCTTGCTTTGTAGGAATTCCTGGTCTAGGAAGTTCCAAGTTACCTACTGGTGCATCTTCGAACCAATTCAGAGAAACCTGTCAAAGTCTGGTGTCCTCACAGATATGCCGTATTAGATTAGGGAATCTCTGAGGAGAACGGACTACCTGACCTAATATAATACAAGGATATCCCAGGGTTTCTGCTGCTTCTCCAGGAACTAAATATAAGCTTATCAGTCCTCTTTTTCTGTCCTTCACTAAACAAAGATAGTCATGAAGCACTCACTGGCAACGTACAGCCTTCCAGAAACTAGTAAACCTCTTCTGGTCCCCCTCTTGCTCAGCCTAACTCACCTATCCCAAAGTAGCACCCACCTTTCCTGTATACCAACTTCTACAAATACTCGACTTCCAATAATACCTTCCTTCTGGTGTGAGTGGCCAAGAAGACAAGCATAACTCAAAGGGTCTGGGACAAAAGGACCAGAGAGAAAACCTCATATTCCAGAATGCATCTTAGCATTTCACCACGCAAACCTGAGAAAACATGGCCCTATTCCAACAGGCATCTGAAGTTAAGGGGGGAATGCGAGGGTGGGGTTTTGGGAGGGGTTTTGGGAGAGGTCCAACTCAACAAACCTAGATGTCATTGTACTGGTGCAGTGTACCCCACTTATCAAGCGCTTACTGACTCTAATAGTGTTGGCAACGTTTGTGGCTAGACAACTCCTGAACCTTTACAGCACCACCACCCCCCCGCCCCGCCGCCACCACGTATATTGTTCTGCCTTCTCACAACCTGCCAACTATTCCTGTCTGGCTTCTTTCTCAAGGCTCTGCCTCCCATTTCAGATCCAGTTTATGTTAGAGTTGGTGTTCTTTATCTCAGGCTCTCCAGGAATATTTGACATAATCAGCTTTCCCCAAGTGGAGATATTCTGTCCTTAAGACTCACCCCACCCCTTCACGATGTGGAGAAAGTACAGATGGAGTTGTCCTGGTCTGGTCTCTCATCCCCCACATGTAAATGATTACCAAGATGAGTCCACTTTCCTCTCTAAATTTTCAAGTTCTTCATCCTTCCTTTCCCTATAGTCATTCCTTTAGTTTTGCCTCTATTTTGCCCGAACTGCTAACCATTTTCTAACAAGGTCTCTCTGCCTCTAGTTTCATTCTTCTCTAATCTGATGAGTAAATCTGTCTTTTTCCTGCTTAAGATCCTCCAATTGTGGGGCGCCTGGGTGGCTCAGTCATTAAGCATCTGCCTTCGGCTCAGATCATGATCCCAGGGTCCTGGGATTGAGCCCCACATTGGGCTCCCTGTTTGTGGGAAGCCTGCTTCTCCCTCTCCCACTCCCCCTGCTTGTGTTCCCTCTCTCACTGTGTCTCTGTCAAATAAATAAAACCTTAAAAAAAAAAAAAAGGTCCTCCAATTTTAGTTTGGCACATATATCCCTTCGTGCTCTGATATCTGCTTGCCTCTCTAGACAGAGCAACTCTCCTAGAATGTCCTGCTTGTATGTGCTATGCTCTCTGCCTTAGGAATACCCTTCCCAAACCTCCCACTGCACATGTCCTTTTATCCATATCCCCTGGAGTTATGTATGACCTATTTGTTCTTAAAAACTTTGTTTCATCATTCCCTTGCCTAATCCAGTGACCTTCCTCACTACCCCTACTATACCTTGTGTACATGTCCATAACAGCAATTATTACTCTTTATTATATGCTTGCTTACTTATTTGCTTCCCCCAGTAAAGATTAAGGTCTTAGAGATTAGCTAGCTTAGATTTCTGTTATTTTTGGTCCCTAACAGTCCACGGAACCAAGTATGCTTAATACAGAATTGCTGGGACAGTAAACCTCTAGATTTTAGCAAGAAGGAAGAACAGAATCCACTATAGCTTCTATTATATACGTAGGTTTCTTAAATGCATCAGCTAAAGTCTAAGACATTACTCTGCTACCTCATGACTGGAGAGAATAACAAAAATTATTCATAGATGGGCACAGATATTTTTATTGTCTATAATTACCCCTAATATTATTGTTTACTGTGTGTCTGGTGCATACATGTACCTTCCCCATTGAGCCTCACAACCTTGAGGTAGGTAGTAGTTTCTTCACCTCTTTTTATAGGTTTATAGGCAGAGGCAAGGCACAGAGAAGTTAAGCATCTCGCCCAATGTCAAAGAGATAGCAAAACCAGGCAGTCTGGCTCCAGAACTGTGTTCTTAACCACTCTGCTACAAAGCTCAATAGCTCTTACATCATGAAAACTGCACTTCAAAAGATTACTCCTCTTTTTAAAACATAAATGTAATATTACCAAATACAATCTAAATTTTAAAAGTTATGATTACACAGACAGACCATCCTCCCCAAAACTTAATAGCTCTACTACAATCATATTTCAATTAAAAAATTTACAAATAGGTTTCACATTAGAAATTTCAAAGTACATTTTTACTTCTGGTTATGGTAATGAAGACCTCTTTGTTCATTACCACCATAGTTGTTTCTCAAGCTATTTTAGACGTTTAACTTAATGGGTGTACAAAAACAGATAAAGAAACTGTGACATCAGTTAATTCATGGTAACCTTTCAGCAATCAGATAATTCTGTTTTATTGTAATATACTGCCAACTTCTAGACATTACAGCAGATATGACAAATTTCCTCGAAAACATTCTATTTTCTATTTCTAAATAACAGGATAATTTGGCAAGATCATTTGGAAGTTTTATTTATTAAGATAGCAGTAATGAATTGTTCCATTTTAGTTTAGAACATACTAATACAAGTTGTTCCTAATACACTTTCTATATTTCTTGTGATGGATGCTTCTGATCTTATTTAACAGGAAAGTACTTTCTAATAGAGGAAAGTAAGAGGTATTACAGAACAGTCATTGTTGAAACTATGAACAAAGCAATGAATATTATTACTGTGATTTTCTAAGAAACTGATACTCAGTCATTGCAAAGAAATAAAATGTAATGGATTTCTGTAATAAAGATCAATACCATCATCAAATTCCAAAATCTCTCTTAATCTCCCCACAGGGTCTGTTAACTGTATCATATGCACACAGGTGTCAAAAATGCTACTGACTAAAATGTAACCTTTTCAAAACGCTAGCACCAGGTTCACTGGAAAGAGGGCAGAGGTGAACTGTAAGTTTATAAACATTAAACCATTGGTACCTATCAATCTCAGCGTATCAAATCAAAAAGGCAGGCATGAAAATTTATAATAGGAGAAATCAGTCACATATTCTAAGATGTGGGGTCCTGACAGGTGCCTCACAGTCCAGGGCAGAGCTAAGAAGCACAATGTTGGTTGACAGATACTACAGTATCACCTTAAAATTTTTCCTTTATTTCTGGGATATGAGTTTATGCCATATTGCTCTTTGCTTCTCTATAAACAAGCAACCAACAATTTATCTTATTATTAGCCACTGGTCTAAAATTAATGATGGCTTAAGTATCTGAATACATACCAACTCCCCTAAGTATAGTAATGTTTCAGCTAAAACTTAACATTAATATATCTGGTTTTCTTCCACGCTTTTAGTTCTTTCCAGAGAATCAGCTTAACTTCAAAGACCAGGTACTTCCCATTCAATTCAGGAATTCTGTGATTTAAAAAGAACATTCAGCTTCCTAACTTAAACACAGCACTCACAGAATACGGCACTCAAAGTACTGCCTGGGTAAGTTATTAACAGAAGTTTTACCCATTCAGCTGTTCCCCAGTAAGAATCACTAGTAGGAGTATACCAAGTAGCAACTTCCTCTAAAGAAAACCAAGGAGCAATCTGGTTTCAGAATGAAAAGATCTGGATAGAGAAGAAAAGTAGACAATAAAACAGATAATTTAACTACTGTTATTCACAATATAGCAAAGAAAAAATCAGAAGTTACACACTTCAAAAAAGGGGTTGCAGGGTGATAGGCCAAAGACAAAATACTGGCATGCTGGAATTTTTTTTCTTTTTTAAACTTAGTATCTGTACAGGAACAAGGGACACTTCACATTTAACACATTGTCAATATGTACTGAGTTCACCTCAAGATAGATCCAACTGCAAGAAAATGGCCCCAATGAACCAGAAGATTTCCTGCAACTAACGAACTGTACTCACAATTAATAAGCAACATTTGCCTCTGTGCAGTTTACAAAGTTCTCAATAATCTGATTTATATGTAAACTTGCTCTGTGGAAAAATAAGATGGTTTGGATATTATTGATGCATAATATGGATTATCAATCAGATACGAAATTCAATTATTCTTGAATTTTTAGAAAAAGTTTCATGCTTTGTTCGAACATAGTAGCTCATTGTCAGGAAATTTCCTTTCTTCAACTCTCCAAGTTAGTATACAAAATTAGGTAATATTTACATTTAATTTATTGTTTTTTTTCATTTAAAGAAATATCTCTTAGTCTTGCTATATAGGAAGTTAATTTAAACGACTGCTCTTAAACTTCATTATACCCAAACTTAGAAAGTAAAATAAGCTTTGAAAAGGAATATGCCATTTTCATGAATACATTTTTAACCTGAAATCTTTTCAAAATACATATTGCAAATATGCTGACAGTGCCACACCCTCAGACATTTGGGGCTACATTCTAATACAGTGTTTAGTGGGTGAGAACTGAAATAACAGTATAACATTTAAAAGAAGTATAAGACTTGCACTAAGAAACCAAAACCCATATAGCATGCAAGTTAACATGGCCTTTTAAATGTTGTTCCGCTATCACAAAAAAAAAATCGTTATAGAAACCATTATTTATATTTCAATCACAAACACTGCTCTTAAAATACAATCTATATCAGATTTATAACCAGATCTGAAAAACAGAGATTAAGATGAGGCTTAGTCTAATTTCTCTGGCAAAAAGTCAAAAAGTAAGATAGAATAATCTTACTATCTCTTATACATTCTGGCAACAACAACAAAACCCAAAGAGCCAGATCAAAGTAAAACGAGGAGTCAAAATTGGCAATAAACCCATTATGAAGAGTGGCACTAAAGTGAAATTTCAGAACATATTGCTTTCTAAATATGTAAGTGCGATCTTACTGGAAAACATGTTATTTACAAAGATTCTAGAAAGCTACCACCAACTTGGTGTCTAGGTTTTTGATCTTTATTTTGCCTCCATAATATTCATTTGTCAGTAGTTTCAAGCTATGTACTTAAATATACCTAATGTGATTTTATATCCTACTTACACTATTCTGTGTCCACGTACAGATTTACAAATATTGTAAGCCACATTATGTAGAATATTATAATATTTTCCAGAGTAGCAACTTTGACTTTGAATAAAAACCAGAGTATCTGGGCTATAAAAACATTTTCTTTTCAATTTCTAAATTCTTTTAAGGAATCACTGATGGAGACTGAACTTAAAGTAAAAAAGTGCTAACCTCTGTCAATTTTAACAAAAAAGGGATTGCTATAAACAGATTTTAAGTAAATACTGTTCTAGACAAATATAATAATCAAATAGCACTCGACACAAATAAACACTGAACTTTCTTCTACAGCACAGGGCTCCCACTGTAGCAGCTGCCGCACAGGACCCTATGAGAATCAGAGGCTGAGCGAGAGACCGAGAATACGGTACAAACAAGGAAAAGAACATAAGCTTAGGAAATTAAAAAGTCCATGAGTAAATCGTATCTGAAAATCAACTTCCAGGAGAATATTAATAGGTAATTACTATAGCCAGAGTTAATCTCTGCCTTCAAGAACGGAAGACAACAAAACAATTCTCACCATAACAATATACCAGTAGTAGAAAAAAATGAATCATTCACAGAATATTCTATGAGGCTTCTCCGGGGGGGGGGGGGTATGTGTCTATGTGTTAAAGCTTACAAAATTAAAAATGTGAAACAAAATGGATTCCTATTAAGATTTCATGATAACAGAAAAAAATTTAAGGAAAGAATATTTTCCTTGAGGGAAGAGTATTTCCCATAACTGGTTTAAAAAGCACCTATGAAATCATGCTGTCCGTGGTCACAACTGAGGTTTTGGATGCTTTTGTCAACTGCAGCATAACTAAAGGCATTTCACAGCATAACTTTAGGGAAAATGTTATCTGGTCTAGAATCACACAAAAAGCAATGAAAATTCTTTTAATTGCTTCTAAAACACCAATTTTTCTGGGTAGCAGCATTTGCTCCTGTACATGCCCTTTCAAAAAATATGAAACAGAAGCAGAAATACGGGAAAAATTTGAGAATAAGAGTAGCAGCATTAAACAGAAAAGCAAATACTTAAATACAGTTTAAAATAAGGAAACAGTACTGTGCAACTTTCAATTATACCAAGTAAAGTGCACTGCTTAAATGTTCACTGATAACATTTTCCCTGTATGATGAAAACATGAAATCTACTTATTGGTATCTTTTTATATTAAAAAAAAAAAAGACATTCACTATTGTAGCCCTGATTGCTCTCTTCCAGTATTTTTTAACCATTCAAATGTATTTTGTGGGAATATTTATTCACATAATTTTGCTTAATACATTTCCTTCTACACAAGACTGAATTTAAAAGTCTCTATAACATTTTCAATTACAGTAATAACACATTAATAAATTATAAATTAACAAAATCTTCATATTTGCTTTAAAAAATCATTTTTCAAACACTAACCTCCAGATTATCTGGAAAATTAAAGATGCAAATTGCTATAAATCTGGCATCCCGATTAAATTGATTTTTAAAAGTATATAAAATGTCCCTCAAATTATTCCAAGTTCCATGCAAGAAAATTTTATTTTACCCTTTTCATAAGTTACTAAGTTTACAACCTGCTAAACATTCTACCCAAATGTGGGAAAACTTTCTGGAGATGCAAAGCACAATAAAATAATTACATGAAAAGAACAAATAAAAATACCCGTTAAAACAAAGTTATTATAGCTGGCAGCACTTAAAATTCGTAATTTGTATTTTTTTTTTTAAAAGTTGCATAGCTGCAAGATGATTCATTACTGATTACTGAGCAGTTTTACTTAAGAGGAAATAATACATTTAATAAATCGCAATTCGATTTAGTTCATCAAAATGTAATTATGTAACTTGATTTACTCTTTGGACTGCATTCTGGTACTGTTACACTTTTCATTTCAAATATTAACATACTTTAGCTCTCCTATGTATAAGTCTATTTTCCACTCTTGGGGGAAAAAAATAGAAGAACTTGAGATCATGGTCTACATTCAGACAATGTTTTACTGCTTGATTACATTTCTTGGTTTCACATTTAAGACTTTAATTTATAAGAAGTACATTATGTGGTTTTCAGTTTTAGATGAATGCAGAAACATCGTGTTGGGGAAAATAAAGTGACCCCCAACCAAAAAACAAGTCAAAACACAACTAGTTGCGCGGCTCTACAGAACTTAATAAAATCAACTTCTAAATCAGTTAACTTTGGCGTCTGAATACAAAATGTTTATCAGTGTTACCTATGTAGATGACTATTAAGGGATGTGCAGCATTTTCAAAATCCCTGTGTGTCCTTTATATGCATGTTTGGTACACTGAGTTCTGTGGCAACTGTCCTCTCTTCAGCAGGGTTATTCCCCTGTATGATTGTCCATCTCTGCATTACCAAGGCTCACAGAACTCAGATTTCTGGCTGAATATGCCTGCAGTTTTGTTTTTCTTTTTCCAGAGACAGATCCTCATATCCTCTCAGTTTTTCAAGCATCTTGGAAAGACAAGAAAACCTGTGTAGAAGCAGATGCATAAGGTTTAAGCAGTGGTCCATAATACTAATACAAATCAAAATACAACACCCATTTCCCAGGAACACTGCTTTACATTGCTATGCATTTTCATATACTTACTATTCTAAAAACTCCTAAAATTAGTATTCTGCAAAAGAACACATGAAGGACAGAAGGACCAATTAAAGCTTAAAACAGTCACAAAAATTAGCCACCACGTAAGTCATTCTCCCTCCACAATAAAGACCACACCGAAGTACAGAAAACACACAACACATAACACCTACACACCTATTAACCTTCCCCTAAATAACTAATAACCTCCAATAAAAATAGTAAACAATTTCCTAACTAATCAAAACCTTAGTTTGTTATGTATATCTATTTTGGGCTGTCCATTAAATTCTTAGGCTGAAGAACATCAGAAATGCTGTATGTCTGCTATATGTTGTTTTTTTGTTTGTTTGTTTTAAAGTTTTAACAGCCGGGACGCCTGGGTGGCTCAGTTGGTTATGCATCTGCCTTAGGCTCAGATCATGATCCCAGGATCCTGGGATCAAGTCCCACCATCGGGCTCAGGGAGCCTGCTTCTCCCTCTGCCTGCCGCTTCCCCTGCTTGTGCGCTCTCTGACAAATAAATAAAATCTTTAAAAATAAATAAATAAATGTTTTAACAATAAATTCTCTTCAAACCCACACGTTTAATCTAAGACAGCAAAAGGGATGGGAGGAATTTATCATTTGACAAATAAGAACAGTCAGCACAGAAGCAAAAATTTGAGTTAAGATATTCCATGTCTGTACATTTGTAAAAATGACTCTTTAAGACCCATAGAGACAAATTCCATTGATTTTTTAAGATTTTATTTATTTAAGAGAATGAGAGAGAGCATGAGAGCGGGGAGGGTCAGAGGGAGAAGCAGACTCCCCGCCGAACAGGGAGCCCGATGTGGGACTCAATCCCGAGACTCCAGGATCATGATGTGAGCCGAAGGCAGTCGCTTAACCAACTGAGCCACCCAGGCACCCCAGATTTTAATTTTTTAAAAGATTTTATTTATTTATTTATTTATTTGAGAGAGAGAGAGAAACAGCATGAGAGGGGAGAGGGTCAGAGGGAGAAGCCGGCTTTCCGCTGAGCCGGGAGCCTGATGTGGAACTCGATCCCAGGATTCTGGGATCATGACCTGAACCAAAAGCAGTCGCTTAACCAACTGAGCCACCCAGGTGCCCCAGGTTCCATTGATTTATAAGATTTGTAAGGGCAGCTGCCACCAAACTAAGGTTCTATATAAAAAAAAAATCAATAAAAAAACACTGATACGTAAGTAAGGAAACTGAAACACTGTTTAAGACCAACATGTATATTGAAACACATGTTCATTATACCCCATAAGCTCATTGTAACACTAAAGTAAAAATTTAGCTGATTGGATCATGAAATAAAAACATTTTTATGACCATAAAATCCCATCTCACATAAAAAAGTTTACTGCCTCTAAAAGACACGTTTTATCGATAGGTGAAAACTTTAGACATTATTATCTTGGTATGTAAAATACTAAGATAAAAATTTCATTTTATTAGCACGAGTTTTTAGTACTTCTCTTTAAATGCTTCTATAATTTGAGCCGTATTTTTAGTTTATTGGCCCAGACATACGGTTACAGTGAAGATATTCCAAAGCATCCTCTTCAAAACACCTGTTCACCGTGAAATAAAAACATACCTGCACATATACTCAAAATATCACTCCATCGACACTCTTCTTTTATACAGAAATCTTATCCCAATTCATACTTCCAGTGTGTCAAGGTCTGCTCTGAATCACCTCATGGGAAAAGGTTCAAAAGCTGACAGTCTGGGGCACCTGGGTGGCTCAGTCGTTAAGCGTCTGCCTTCAGCTCAGGTCATGGTCCCAGGGTCCTGGGATCGAGCCCCACATCGGGCTCCCTGCTGCCTTCTTCTCCCTCTCCCTCTCCCCTTGCTTCTTCTCCCTCTCCCTCCTCTCTCGCTGTGTCTCTGTCAAATAACTAAATAAAATCTTAAAAAAAAAAAAAAAAAGCTGACTTCTCCATTTCCCACGCAGAACCCTGCTGTAACTGTGACAGAGGTCTCACTTCGTGCTGCATTCTTACTTCAGTTGCTATAACGGCTATTCGGTAATCTCCAATCTCCTCTCTCAATACTCTAATCTGCTGCTATTGAATTATCCTCATTAAGGGCAATGATCTGTTTCAGTTTCCTATCTTTAGTCTTAGCCATTCAGAAAAGACTGTTGGCGGTTACCGTCTTAGGTCTCTGAACACAGAGATTCCAACTCCTGAAACAATTCCTGGATTGGCTAAAATGTTCTGCCTGGATGTAAAAATCCAGTGCTTCATGTCATTTCTGCAAGTCTTCTCATAAAAAGCTTTTCATATATATGAAGATATCAATTAAATTAACTACTTTTTCAAAGATAAATGATGTCACATTTAACTCACTTCATGGAATATGGAAAAAACAATAGTCAAGTGAGTTTATCATTCAATTCACTGAACAATTTCAGATAATGCCGGATAAGCAGCTAAATCAGCAGAGCAAAACAAATTCTGTATTTGGTTTAAAATTCATCTTTTTTTTCACTTTTCCTGCTACTGTATAGACAGGCACTATATAACATGCTGAGAATACTAAGGGGCAAGATTAAACTGAATGAATGAGTACATGATGCAACTTTTTGAAGAAAATGCTCCTACCTAATTATAGCAAAATAGGTAAGAACACAATCTTTGCAGCCAATATGCCTGGGTTCAAGTCCCAGTTCTACCAAGGAACTAGCTTGACTAGTCAAGTTCTGTAACCTCTAACTTTGTTTCCTCATCTGTATAATGGGAAAAGGAATAGCGAGAGTCCTGAGCTCAAAGGGTTGTTACAACAATTAGATGAGTTAGTAATAGATGTTAAAATGCTTAGAACAATGCCTGGCACATAATAATGCAACATGAATGTTAACTAACTGTTATGATTAGAATTATAATATTATGTTGCATTACTTAAGAACATACCTGTCAAGTTTGGAATAAGAGTACAGAATTTGATTCTGTTTACTAAATGCATGCCTTGGACTATTGTGCATACTGCTTCTTAAAGTCATGAAATTAATTACTTTGGCCTTCAGACTTCTTAGTGGTAAAACAGGGTAATATCTACTGATACTTACATATGTGCAGTACATGTATGAAGTTTATACAAACCATATACTTCACGGGTTTAAGCACTAAAATTAAATGTGTTTTAAAGTACTAAGAATGGAGAAGTTACTCAATATATGACTTTCTTATGGAATCAATAAAGTTGTTTTCTATGTATCTTTTCATGTGAGTTTTTTACACAGTAACCTAACACAATGTCTGGGACACGGACACACACACACACACACGCTTCAATAAGTAAATGAATGAATTAAAATGGTGGCTGAGAATGTATAACTCAAGTAACAAGTTTAAAAGTAATTAAAACAGAAAAAGGGAGAATTACCTATAAAACAGGAAGCTGATGCTTAATCTGAAGGGTGCTCAGGGCAAGATCTATTTACTTCAAACCATTCATCTATGCAGCTAGAAAAGAACAAAACCAGAAAAACTGAAACACTTATTGTTTAATTATTGGTATCATGACAGCCATAATAAAAATTCTTACTTCTTGACCTTAATATATATTTACAGGAAAAAAATTTCAATATTTTAAATGAGTATATTTGGCATATGTAAGTAAAAGATAAGGATCTGTTTATTACATTTTGATTTTTTTTTTGTAATTCTACACCCAACGTGGGGCTAACCTCATGACCCTAAGATCAAGTGGCATGCTCTTCTGACTGAGCCAGCCACACATCCCACATTTTGATTATTCAAAGCAGTTAAGGAAATAAACTTTGCAAAATTATGCTATAAAGTACTTTAAAGTTGAAGTAGAACAACCATTACCAAAAAAGAATCTAAAGAACACTTTACCAATATTCAAAATTAAGTGACAAATCTGGATATTTTTCTCCTCAAAATATTCATTCATGCAAATACAATCTGTTCATGTACCTATCAATGTAATCAAAAACAGCTTTTAAATTCTAATTCTTGACAGTACTGCATCTTTTAAAAGACTATACTTCAATACTCACATATAAATATAGCCTTTTAATTCTATCCCACTCTACAATACATATACATACACAAATAAAAATACTATCATCCAATTGCATTTATATTTTGTGATTTTATTAGAAGTTAAATATTAGGGTGCATATAATTTCCTCATTATAGATCTGCACTGTTCAGTGCAGTAGCCACAAGCCATATGTGGCTATTTAAATTCATTATGATTAAATAAAAGAAAAATGCAGTTCCTCAGTCACACTACCACATTTCAAGTGCTCAAAAGCCACATGCATGGCTATTGGCTATTCTACCAGACACACAGATATGAAACATTTTCATCACTGCAGAAAGTTTTAGTTCACTGTGATAAGTGGTAAGGCCTTGATAAGGTTAAGTAACTTGTCCAACAGCTAGAAAGTTACCCAAGCAGAATTCAAACTGCTCAACATTCTCATTGTTGACGAATCTCAAATGTGCATTTGCCACAAAGCTAGAAGGCTTGGCTAATACGCTTACAGGCAAAATTATTATGTATCCTTCTCATATCCTGATAGAATAGTTTGGTGGGTAAAAATAATGGTGAAATCAAAAGGAAAAAAGGTAAAGTATCTCATCCACACAATATTCTTTCAAATATCTAAAATAATTTCTGTTGCTATTAAGACTTTTATTGTCTAAATAATCATGCCCAAATTGGCTTCTCAGCCTGCTCTCTATCCTACTTACTTGGCTCTAGTGGTCCTCTGGTCTACTGAAACATCCCTTAAAATGAAGTACTGAACCGGGGCGCATGGGTGGCTCAGCTGGTTGAGTGTCCAACTCTTGACTTCAGTTCAGGTCATGGTCTCAGGGTTGTGAGACCGAGCCCCACGTGGGGCTCTCTCTTTCCCCTTCTCCCTCTACCCTGCCCCTCCCACCAAAAAAAAGAAGTACTGAACAAAATACTCCAGATATATTAACAATTCACAGTACCTATGTGATTTAAAATAAATGGGTATTTATTTTACAAGCCATGTAATCTTGATTCACACTGAGAGATTATCATTGTAATATTCCATAAATACAAGCATGTTGCAATTTATGTGTCCATCCCTTTACGATGGACACTTTCAGTGATGCTAGAACATTCTTATACATGTCTCTTAGAACGGTGCTACTCGAAGAGTGGCCCACAAACACAGCGCTAATCCATGAGCTGTTTGTTACCAGTTCTCAATGAAATAAGGGGCTTTTGAGCCAGAACACCCATTTATTTTGCTTCTAACCACAGTGTTTTAACTTTTTTAAAAAAATTTTAAATCACTGCAAGTCTTCCTCAATGAAGACAGTATTATATTGATTTACATTCTCGCACAAGCTCCTTTATTTAATCCTGGACCTGCCACAATGAGTAGCAGCACCGTCCTAGAGCACAAGATCAAGAATTCCTCCAGGGCTTATATTTTAGAGTGGAATGACTGAACTGTAGAATATACACAGTACACAGCTATGACAGAGCTATTCACTAAGTATACCAACTTACATTTGTATGTTTACTGGCCATTTGGGGTTTTTTTTTTTCTGAATTGACTTAACAACTTTTGACAAATTTTCTATTTTGTCTTTTTCTTATAGGTTTATAGGAAGTTATTATCCAAATACTTCAGCTATAATATAGTATACACATTTTTGATGATCATTGCTTTTTACAAAATCATGCACTAAAACTAACAGGGCTTATGGGAAAACCCATGTTAAAGGCAGACCACTCAAACAATACAACCTTCTAACCAGAACAAAGCTGTGTTTGTTCCAGATAAATAAAATACCACTGTAAATACAGGATTTTTTTTAAAAAAGGGTTAAGTTAGCTTGACATAAAGAGGACTAAGGAAGGGGGAGCCTGGCTGGCTCAGTCAGTGGAGCAGGGGACTCTTGATCTCTGGGTGGTGAGTTCAAGCCCCATGTTGGGTATAGAGATAACTTAAAAAAAGAGGACTAAGGAAGGATTAATATTAATATGGGGACAAAAGCCTAATGCACAAAATTTGAGAACTATGAATGAAGTAAGCACTTCCAAAATAAAGCCTGTGGTCCAACTAAACTGGGTATAAGAATGTTCAGTGGATGGGTATTCTTATAGTACCAGGCACACCTCATATCCTGGGGTTCAGTTCTAGACCACTGCAATAAATATCGCAATAAAATGAGTCAAATTTTTTGGTTTTCCAGTGCTTATCAAAGTTATGTTCACACTGTACTAAGTGTGCAAAAGCATTATGTCTTAAATATATATACATACACATAATTAAATATAAGAAACAGGGCAGAGGACCATTGGGAAAGGGAGGGAAAACTGAATGGGAAGTCATCAGAAAGGGAGACAAACCATGAGACTCTTAACTATAGGAAACAAACTGAGGTGAGTGGGGGGATGGGGTAACCAGGTGATGGGCATTAAGGAGGGCACGTGCTGTGATGAGCACTGGGTGTTATACACAACTGATCAATTACTGAACTCTACATCTGAAACTAATGAGGTACTATATGTTGGCTAACTGAATTTAAATTAAAAGAAAAAAAGAAAAAATATAAAATTAAATTACCTATATTTGTAATAAATTTATCTAATAATTTAATTAAAAATACTTTATTGCTAAAATAGGCTAACTACCATCTGACTTTTTAGTGAGTCATAATCACTGTTCAGATATCACCATAACAAATAACTAATGAAGAAATTTGAAATACTGTGAGAGTTACCAAAATGTGATACAGAGACACAAAGTATGCAAACGCTGTTGGGAAAATAGTGCCAATAGACTTGCTCTATGCAGGGTTGTGAGAAACCTTAAATTTGTTTAAAAAGAAAAAAGGGGGGGGCTGTATCTGTGAAACGCAATACAATGAAGCACAATGAAACAAGGTATATCTACACTGTATTCTCCCACGGCCTGTTTCCATATATATATACTTTTCGTCCGTTTTTATTTGATGGAGCAAACACTAATGTGCTGAGAAATATTCTTTATGAACCAGTACGATCATCTCATTACAATGTCACTGTTCTTCCACTTACCAACTGCAATGAGCTAACTGCATTACAGAAAGCTGCTGAAGAAGCTCGTTTCAGATACCATACCAACAAAACTGTTGTTACGTGTACTGAAAAGAACTCAGCCTGAGGTCTAATTTTCTTTTACTTTTTCACAAATTCATGATGCAAAAAAGTTTTAAATTTTAATACAGTTAAATTTATAGACTTTTCTTTTGAAGTTGATGGGGAGGTATGTTAGCCCTAAAAATATCTCTTACCAAGAGGTCAAGAACATTTCTCTACATTCTTTCCAACACTTGTAAAGATTTTGATTTCCAAAGGCACATGATTAGTCAAATGGGAACTGATTATTTCAACTATAAAATTTTTCTACATCAATAACCAACTGATCTCAGTATCATTCACTGAATTGTTCATTCTTTCTTACTACTGTAATACCACCTCTGCCAAATCAATTTTTTTTATTTACTTAACAAATATTTACATAGTATCCGTTATGTGCAAGCACTTTCTAAAATTTAACTCATTTAAAACCTCCTAACAACTCTATGAAGTTGGTACTATCGCCTCATTTTATAGACTGAGGGAGGGAAAAACTAACTACAACTTGACCAAGATCACACAATGAATTAGTGGAGGGGCTGGGATTTGAATCTTGGGAGGAAGGCTTAACTTCCAAGAATCTATGCTTTTAACAACCCGGTGCCTATGCTGTCTCTCATAAGCGCACAAGTGTTTATGGACTCTATTCCTATGCCCTACCCACACTTGTCTTAATAACAATCTTATAATGTATTTGTACAGGGCAAGTCCCCCCAGCAGTTTTCTTCTTCGTGAGTATGACTGTTCTTGCCATATGGGCTCTTTGGTCCATGTGTATTTCAGAATCCACTTATAAAATTACATGAAAAAACTAGTTGAGATTTGAATGGGACAATATTAACTATGTAATTTGGGGTTAAGTGACATCTTTATGACATGGAATCTTTCTATCCCCAAGATGGTATACCTCAAATTTTAGATCTTCTGTATCTTTCAGCGAAGTTTTAAAATCTTGAGCAACTTTTGTAGGATGTATTCTTAACACAACTTACAGTTATTGTAGGTTTTGTGGCTGTTAATGTTATTATTCTATTAAAAAAAAAAAAGTTGTATTTTCTTTTTTCTTACTGGGATATGAATGCAACTAATTTTCATGTTGAGCTCCTATCTGGCAACCCTGCTAAGTTCTTAATCCCTAAGAAAGAGAGCAAAAGAGAGAGCATGCACGTATGTGCGCAGAGGGGGAGGGACAGAGAGAGAGAATCTTAAGCAGGATCTCAGGGAGGCCTGATCTCATGACCCTGAGATCATGACCTGAGCTGAAATCCAGAGCTGGATGCTTAACCAACTGAGCCACCCAGGTGCCCCAGTTCTTATTAATTTTTTTCTAAAGATTTTATTTATTTATTTGAGAGAGACAGAGAGAGTGAGCAAGTGAGCAAGAGTCAGGGGAGGGGCAGAGAGAGAGCCCTCTGAGTGGGGAGCCCAACAAGGGTCAGGCCCTGAGATCATGACCTCAGCTGAAGTCAGACACTTAGCCAACCAAGTCACCCAGGCACCGCTCTTATTAATTTTAATAATTTATCTAACATCTACTCTTCGCTTTTGTTTTGAAATCAATTCGTAAGTATAGAGTTTTACTGTTTTCTCACATTTACTGAGATAATATGGTCTTTCTCCTTTGTTAATGTGGTGTACTACATATATAAATTTTCTAATCTTACAGTGTCTTTACATTCCTAATAGTCATGAGGCATTACTTCAGATATATATTGATGAATTTGGTTTGCTAATATGTGTTTGGATTTTTTGCATTTATGTTCATGAATAAGAGTGCCTTCTAATTTACTTTCCTATACTTGCCTTGTCTGATTTTATTTATTTATTTTTTTAAAGATGTTATTTGTCAGGGAGAAAGAGCCAGCAAGCACAAGCAGGGGGATCGGCAGGCAGAGGGAGAAGCAGGCTCCCCACTGAGCAAGGAGCCCAATGTGCGACTTTACCCCACGACCCCGGGATCATGACCTAGGCCAAAGGCAGATGCTAAACCGACTGAGCCACCCAGGCGTCCTACCTTGTTTGATTTTAATATCAAGTTTATACCATTTTCATAAAATAAGTGGGAGAACCTACAATCTTTTCCTACTATTTGAAGTGTTTACAATTGTTAACATGGTGTTCTTTGGACGTCTGGTAGAACCTGCTGTCAAACCATCTTTGTAGGCCTGTTTTTAGGTTTTTGGGTCTTGTTTTAATTTTTAATATTTGTTGTTTTTCAAGGTTTGTCTTAATAACTACTTGTAACAGTTATCAGTCAACTCAGGTTTTCTATTTCTTCTTGAATCATTTTGGTAATTACTACATATCATAATATACAATTAATAATATATAATAAATATATTTATATATTATAAAATATATAATGAATTGGAAAGATAATATTCTTAAAGAAACTGCCTGTTTTGTTTATATTTTTAAATCAGACTGTAAAATTTTTCACAAAATTTTCCGATTATTTTTAATTTCTGTGTCTGAAGTTATGTGTTATTCCTATACTGTTCACTTTTTCCTTCTAGAGACAATCCTGCCAGAGGCCTATTTTATTTGTCTTTAAAGAACCAACTTTTGGCTTTGTTGGTCTCTAGTGTGTAATTTTTTCATTTCATTTTCTTCTCTCATCTTTATTATTTTTTTGCTCTATTCTGTTTCTTCATTTTTCTAATTTATTAAGGAAGAACTTGTTTAATGAGTTCCAGTCTTTCTTTCCACTCTAACACAAGCCTTCCAAGGATCACTCTAGAAAATGTCAGAAGGGTTTTTCATTATTATTCAGTTTTGAGTATTTCTAAGATCCATTACGATTTCTTTTCTTTCTGGGGGTGGGGGGTGGGGAGAAAACCCTAAGGAGGCTCCGCTCTCAGTGCGGGGCCCGACAGGGGGTTTGCTCTCAGGGCCCTGAGATTCCGACTGGGCCCAAATCAAGAGTCAGACACTTAGCCCACTGAGCCACCCAGACACCCCTCCATTATATTTCTTCTTTAATCTACAAATTACTTAAAAGTATGTGTGAAGATTATTCATCTTTTATTACTGACCTATAATTGGCCAGAGAACAGCTAGCTTTCTGTATGGCACCAATTTTTTGTAGTTTGCTAAAACTTGCTTTATTGCCCAGCACACCATCAATTTCTGTGTATTTCACATGTGCTTGAAAAGAAAATGTACTAATTGCTAGGTGCAGACACACATACATCCATTAGACAAATCTGTGAACTGTACTGCTTGTTTGTTCTAGGTCTTGACTCATTTTGTGTTTATCTGCTTGACTCAATGAGAATTATGTTGAAATTTCCCATTATCATGACATTTCTGTCCATTTTTTTCTGACAGTTCTATAAATATTTTACCTTGAGACTGTTCTTAGGTTCACCAAAAACTGAATTTTATATAGCTTTATCATATCATACTAGTAATATTTTTGTTAAAATTTATTTTGTCTGTTATTAATTTAGCTTTGTCAGTTGCTCATAGTTAATATTTATCCGGACATAATTTTCTATTCCTTCACTTTCACATTTTTCTATATCCTTATGTTTAAGTGTTTGCTCAGCAACAGCATATCTTTCAGTCTGCTGTCAACTGATGAGTTTTATTTAGATTTATTAAAATTGCTGATATTGTATTTATTTTGCCTCCTTATTTTGTATTATTTATTGTGTTCTCTATGCTTTTCCCCACACCCACCTTTAAATAAAATTCTACCTTATTCCTTTTATTGGTTTAAAATGTTATAGTTTTCTATTTTTTTCTGTTCACCTTAAATTTTTTTTTTACCTAAAAATTGTCCTGTGTTGCTCTGAAACTAAGAATACTTTATGAGAATCTAGATGGATGTTAGAGTCAGACATGGCTAAAATCTCAGCTCTTCCATTTGCTAGCCATGTGACCTTGAAGTGATTTCCTATGGTCCCTCGGCTTATTCCCTCAATTACAGAATGAGATTGTTCCAAGGTTTACATGAGATAACCTAGCTAAGCTGTTATGGACAATACCTGGGTAACAGGAGATGTTTAACAAATGGTAGATTTTTGGATACAAACAGATGTGGGCTTTAATCTTAGTTCTAGCAGGTAAAAAAGGCTGTTATTTTTTTAAGAAACACGGGAAGGGAGTTTCAATTAAGAAGAAAATTTTTCAGCCCTAAGGGCAATGTCTGAAATTTTGAGAAGCATCGCTTACTCTACTATCAACTTGGTTAACATAAAAAGAAACTTACCCTTTATGATATATGCATAGACAAGGCAGTCGTGCTATAGTATCTCCCTGCTGCAATTCTTCAAGGCATATTGCACATTCCCCAGCATCTTTACTCAGTACATCCTCTGAGGAAAGAGAAAATGAATTCAGGACAATAAAACTGAAAGACAAATTACAGGAACACTAATTTATAAAGAGTGGTGACTGGCATATTTTGTCAGAAATACATAAAACTCAGCACCCATATTTGAAATACTATTCATAAGTCAGTGAATAATATTTACCTTTACTCATAGACAGCATCTTATTTCCATTTACATCTCACTGAGGCATTACAGTAAGCAAGAACAGTGCAGAATCCTCCGACTTGCAAAGGATTTTGCTATAAAACTTCATCAGCAAGTCAGTTATTTGCAATTTGGAATTTATTTTCCTTCTCTTACTAATCAATATTAATTTGATGCCCAGGATAGTTCAAAAAAATTTAGACTGTAATGTGGCTGAAAAGACATGAAAATACTATTATAATTTTTAAAATTCTAAAATAACAAAATTGGGTAAGTTAAAGAAATCACCCTGAATATGGGACTTCTTAAAAAGGTCTGCTTAATTCAAGAAAATCCAAAGGTAGATTAAAGTTTTGTGTAGATTCTGAAAGGGACTTTTGGAAACTTGAGGATTTCAGACAGGCAACAATTTTTCTTAATCCTTTTCCAGAACAATACCCGGTCGACACCAGGCAGCAATTAATTAGACTGGCTTCCAGAGGGCCCTGCACAGTGTTTAAAACACTGCTATGGTAAAACCCTTTACAAAGTGAAAATTCCTTTTGGGGGGGAAAAAAGGTTCTTTCAATTTATGTTTTATACTGAATAAATATTTTATTAATGTTAAAGCTTAATTTTTTAAAAGGATCTTGCCTAAAACAGAGATGTTAGCCAGATAAAATGACGAATAACTAAAACATGCTGTTGCTGTAAAGTTTGGAGAAACTGTCAAATGTATGAGAATGTATACTCAGTAAGTGTCGAGAATGGAAAACTAAAGCAGGACCATGCAATATGAATTTATACCACAAATAACTAAATTACTGTCTGTAGAAATAAAAATCAAATAGGCTAAAGAGAAAAGACTACACCAATTTCTACCTAATGCTGAAAGACAGTGCAAGGTAGGGAAGTTCCTAAAATTATTTGCCTGGTACTCCCACACCTCTTATAAAAACCAACGAATTTAATTGTGCATTTATCTGTAATCGTTCATTGTAGAAAAATTCATTCTCTAAGAAGTAGTTCGCCTTTCAGTTATTCATATTGAGACAGCACATTAAGAGGAAACACAGACTCTATTGGGTCTATACCAGCAGACAGATGATTTACCCGTAAGGCTGGAGGGGGTAACAGGGCAACCTCTGCGGAAAAAGGCCTTGGAATGAAAAGTTCATGTGTTCAGAATCTAGGGAATATGGTTGAGATGACTTTAGCTAACTACTGGGTAGTTCACAAGCTGACATGCCACAATCAGAGACTTGGCCAGGATAAGCAAAGCTGGGTAAATGGATAATGTTCTCATTAACAACCCCCTCTAGTGTCTTGTCCCCACTTTTCCCCTCTTCACCCTGGAGGTCCGTCCACTACCTCCACTCCACCCACCCTGAGCCCAAGTCTTTCCTTCCTTCTCTTGATCTCCATTTTTTTTCTTACTGTTCTGGATAGCTTTCCACAGATGGGAAACCAGTCTAGTGTAAAAAAACCTAATTAGTGGTATATTGGAACGCACGAAAGGAGGCCACTCCAGTGGCCCCACCCATGTCACAAATCTAAACCTCAATCATCCTGCACTTACGGAGAACATCTCACTATCAAGGCAACGTAACACCAGTCACAATCCTCCAGCTTGGCTTTAGCTAGCTTACGTTACCCTGGAAAACAGGACCTTCTACCCAATCATGCCCTGCTTTGGGCTGCCTCTTCGAACATTATATAAAAGTCGCTCTCAAAAAAATACCTTCAGAAGTGCTCGTGAGGCACTGTACTCCCTCAATCTATGGATTATTTTCCCTTGAATAAAATACAGCAAACTCATTACTGAATTGTTTTAGTTTTGCCATTTGACACTAGGATGACAGCAGTGAGAGGATGTGAAGGAGACACTAAAAGATCTTAGCAAAGGTCTGTAACTCCAAATAATAACAGTATATTCTCACAGCATCTATTCGATATCTTTCACCGCAAAGATATACCACATCATTAACAATGAGTCTGAGTTCTACAACAAACTTCAAAAAAATCAACCATCACTTTTTACCAAGCCTAAGACATCAATGATTAGAACATGTACCATTAGTCTGCACATAAGTAAAACAAACCCCCCAAAACCCCACCACTGAAATGACACAAATCAACTTTAAGATGCATCTCATTTTCCAGAGCTGTTAAAGTATGAAGTGTGTCTTAGAACTGGTGAAACATGGTATCACATTTTCTACCTTTTGGAATACATTAATATTGCATCTAGATTTAAGTCAAAAGGAACCATATAATCTCCATTATCTTATATTAAGAAAATGAGATAGGCCAGCTTTTAAAAAATAAGGAAAAAGCATTGCCATTATTTTTTGCCATATACTACTATGTAACAGATTGTCAGCACCAAATGAAAAGAACTAGAATCATTAAGTATAAGCTTCTGAATGCACCGTTCACAGAAAAATAAGTGTCTTTTAACAATACTTTTATGGTGACCTAAGACCAAGTCTCAATTCTTTATTACAAAAGGTTTTTAAAAATCTCTGAGTTGGGAAAATTTTAATATCTTGAAGGTCTTGGTTTTATCCTGTTTTTAAGTAAATTTATTTACGGTACAACAAAGACAAATATAATCTGCATATAATTAACATAATGATATTTATTTTAAGAATATAATGTTATGCTTTGCAAGTACTAAGTTAAAAAATCATTTTAGTTTAATCTAAAATGCCATATTAAAGTCAGCCATTTAATCATAAGCTCCCTAAGCCCTAGTAATGAAAAATAATCAGAACTATATATTCTATGTTAAGAAAGGTGCACCTATATACAACAACATTCCAAGCAAATTTCAATGCAGAAGCAGCCTACATTCACTGTAAATAGCTTCTAGTGAAATGATCTCTGCTCAGAAAATTAAGAGGTAAATGTTAACATGTTATAGACAGCCACTACTCAACTGCATTTTGATAAGCAACTCTGAGTCAAAAGACAGTTCACTCACTGCAAAACCCCAGTTACTGTCTCAAATACCAAATGCATAATTTGAAAATTCACTATGCAACATGGTTCATTTTTGCCTACATGGGGGGGGGGTTTGCTAGAATGTTCCCCTCTGCTACCCCATTATGACAGTGCCCTTCCATTCAAAGGAAAGTTTTGAGCTTGGTAATGGGAAACATTCAGACTTAAATACGGTTGGGAAAAACCACAAAGTCCAGGATACTGAAGCATCTTCAAGACAGCTGGGGGAAAAAATGTTAAAAATCTTTAGCCAATCAATTGAAAACATTCACAAAGATACTACTATAAGCAATATGGAGTCAACATTTTAGGACTGCAATACATCGAGGGCAGACTATTAATAGCCAAAATTGTTATTAAAGAAGCAGAGAAAGGAACACTAAGAGATTTAACTTCCATAGTTAGCTAGTCTGACTGGATTCCTGCTCTCCACAAGCACTTATAAATGGGGAGGCACTAAAGATAGTGAATAGAAACACTTTTATTGTTTTTTCAAGTATTGCTGATGTCCCACCTAAACATTTGGAACACTAAAAGTTAAATCAGTGTACTGTTTATCAGTCTCATTTTTTTTTGTCTTATTCATATGGTGTATGCATTAATTTAGATGTACTGATACAGGAAAAGAAGAATTAAAGCAGGAAGAGAGCAATGATTTCTAACCAGAGGTGGGCACCAGGATCACTTGGGTAGGCATTCTGTCTCAATACAGAAAATAAATTACATATACGTGGGCCCCATCCCTGGAGATGCTGAAATATACACCTGTCTCAGAAACACAACTGCTATCAATTGAAGAGCATGTCGAAGTAGGAAGAGCATAAGATTTAAAGTTGAAAATAGGAATCTCCATCCTTTCAGTTAGCTATGTAATCTCCAAAAAGTTGGTCAACTTTGAGTTTCCTTTTACTCTCCTTTAATATTAGTATAAAGGTACCCAAAATATTATAGAGATGAAATTTTAAAGAGTTATGTGAAAAGCTTTATAAGTTATCAAAACATTATACAAAATATTCGTTTTTATTACCATTGTTATCAGAAAGCACTTTTCAGACTTCTCCAAAAACAAAGTTGGTCATTTTTCTCTTTTTCTCCTCATTCTGGTATTCTAGCTGTTTCAACTTCACACGGTGTCATAAATAATCCCATGGCCACCAGAAACTTACTACAGAATACTCTTGACCTATTTCTAGAGACCTATTATAGTTTCAAGGGTGTGAACAAGTCCATGCAAACAACACTGCCTAATTTTTAAATGTTTTGGCTTCATTCTATATTTAAAAGTACTATAAATGTCCCATTACATATCTTTACATATATTGTTATTTATTTATTAATCCTATGAGGTAACTAATGCTACCTCTTTTTTACAGATAAGGAAACTGAGGCTCAAAGAAGTTAAGTAACTTATCAGAAATTACTAACCTAAATTAAGTTCTGGGATCAGGATTCAAATTAAGGCTAAGTCGCTGGCCTGTTTATTACATGAATTTTGCTACAAGAGATGGCTACATATTTAGAGGAAGTATGCTCAAGACTGCTTTATCTTCTGGAGTTATCAAGCTGCTGTCAAAACTGTATCAGAAATGAGCTTATACTTTACTGCTTACTTCCTTCTATTGGACAGGGAAATAGCCCTGTCCAATTAGAACTTTCTGTGATGACAGAAACAGTCTTTTTATCTGTGCTGCCTGAATTGGTAGCTACTAGCCACATATGGCCTGAAAACAGCACTTGAAATGTGGTCAGTGCAACTGAGAAACTGAATTTTAACTGTCCTTCATTTTAGTAAAATACAAAACCTGAAAATATAGGATAGATAAGGAACATACATTTATAAACTAATTAAAAAC